CGGATTCGGGTGCAACAAGCCGCGTTTTCGGCTCTCCCCCTCTCTCTCTCTCTTTTTCGTCTTCCTCTGTCACCACAGTGGGGAAGACAGTGTTCCTGGCGGAATTAACAAGGTTTCATATTAACGGGGAAATTGTGTCGACCCTCTTGGAAACATATTGCCTATGAAACTGCGCTCACCTTCGGCTCCACTTTCCCCAGAAATGGAGAAATTTCTTTATTTATTTTCACCGCTGTCCAACTATTTGCACACAAAACAACGGACAATACGTGAAGTCATTGCTTCTGTTTTAAACTTCGTCAAACTTTAGATCACTTTGTGTTCGCTGCCTTTTTTCATTTCATTAACTTCCGTGCTATAGTTGCAGTTATTACCGTATCTTGAGGAATTTTATTGTGAGTGAAAACTATTTTTTGAATTTTTGGAAAATGATAGAATTCTGTTGCGTTGGAAAATAATTTTTGACAACGAAGTTGGGAATTTGGGTGATTATGCCAGGTGAACGGTAATAATAACGCCTTTATTACAGCAATAGTGTAACACAGGTTCGAGGTTCAATTATAGTCCCTACTATGCCTGAGGTATAATTGATCGACGATTATAATTAGAAGCGATTGATCAGAGGTGAGATGTGAAATGCACAGTTATCGTTGGGGAGAGGAAATTGGAAATTATAGGTATTATCAGAGCGAGGGTGAACTGTTAAGGATTGAGAATTGAATTTGGGATTACAAGGGTTGGAAAATTTGTTGCAAGCAATTAAGGGAAGACACTCACATTCACGTGTATTCCGTCGACGTTGAAGGTGCTGTACGGTGGATCTCGCTCGGGCAGGTATCGATAGAACTCTGTGTCTTCGAGGAACCATTGTATCGTGTACAATGGCAGACCTTCGAGGTCGTAGTGGCAGGACAACGTCACTGTGTCACCCGATCGCACCACTGCTGGCACGTTGATTGTCAAATCCTTCAGTCCTGTCGCCCCTGGAAATTAATGGTTAAAAGTAATTTAGTGGAAATGCAGATTGCGTACATTTTAGAATTCTGAGAGAATTCTGAGTATTTCTGTAGGAAATTTTGGATCGCGTTGCAATTTGAAACTCGAGTTAGTGTTCTTACAAGTATTATAGATCAATTTGAGGATCACCAATTTTGCAGAAATCAAATTTCCTAAATTTTAGAATTCTAATGGAAATTTTAGAATTCTAAGAGAATTCTAAGTATTTCTGTAGGAAATTTTGGATCGTGGCACAATTTGAAACTCGAGTTAGTGTTCTTAGAAGTATTATAGATCAATCTGGGGATCACCAATTTTGCAGAAATCAAATTTCGGAGTTTTAATGCGAATTTTAGAATTATAAGTATTTTCCTAGGAAATTTTTGATCGTATTGCAATTTGAAACTCGAGTGAGTCTTCTTAGAATTACTATAGATCAATCTGAGGACCACAAATTTTGCAAAAATCAAATTCCTACTTTTCAGAATTTTGCAATATTCTCCTGTGAGCTCTAATTAAAATTTCTTCGAAAATTCTTCCTGAAGATACTATAACACCCCAAATACTTAACTTTCATAAATTTTAAATTTGCACCAATCCATACCATCTTACTGTAAATTTGAAATAAATAAAATTTGAATTTTTATAGAATCTCAGTACCCCCAAAAATAATTTCCAACATCTTCAAAAAAATCCAAAATCTTCAAAATTCGATTTCTGCAAAATCACCACAACACTTCCCGTTCCATTAAGAACTCAAATTCTCTCCTCAAGCAACCACAAATTCCCCAACAATCCCCTTTTTCCCTCCGATCTTCCATTGAAAACACGAACCTCGAAAAACCTTCGATACCATTCACCAAGCTTCGCCCGTGTAGCAAGCACAGTGCGACGAATACTTAGAAAAATGTTTCCACCGAACAACTGGTATCGGTTTCGTTGGATTGATAGCGGGGCCCCGGTGGGTTATGTTACCAATTGGAACGTCGAAACGGATAACTGTTCTGTATAGCGTATATATATATATTTTTTTTTTCTCCATTCGTCGATCCGTCCGTTCGTTTTGTCGTTTTAATTGGCGATAGGTGGAGAGACGTGGGTGCTGGTTGCGGAGGAACGGGGGTGGTGGAATGCTTGAGAGCGCGAGACAAAAACCGTGCAACGACAAAAGCTCGTGTCGTTCGTCGACGTTTTTGTAATTAGCCAGAGAGAATTGAGGAGGAGGAGGAGGAGATCGGTCGGTTTAAAGAGGCTCGGTTTATGAGGCACGTTTTATCGTGAAATGTTATACCTATTCAGAGTCACGTTAGCCAGTATTAAGCAAAGTGAGCGTAATTTCACCGGCGAAGCTAAAGTTCAAGTTATTGCCCGAAGTGTACCGTCTCAAGACGCTTCTTCGAATTTTCTTAGGGCGAAGAGAACACGCTCGATGATATACAGAGTGCACTAGCTTAATTATTTTATTATGCGTTGTTTCTTTGATCAATTTTCTTTTGCCACAGACGATGAAGACGATTCTCTCAAATTTTTTCTCGTCCCTTTTTAAGTGTAGGCGACCTACGCTATCGTAACGAACGGGTTAAAATTGAGGCAAAGTGTAGGCGACAAACGTTATCGTAACGAAAGGGTTCTAATAAGTTTCCAAGCCCAGGTTCAATTTTTTTGTACATAAACCTACAATTTCTTTCCTGTCAGCTATCAGACTTTGACACGAATTCAACGACCACAGTACAGTAAATTCTCTACAAGTGTCAGTCAGTTTGGATTCTACAAGTGTCAGTATAGACGGTCCTACGCCTAGGTCTGCGTCATTGCTGCGCCCATGTTATCTCACTCGCAGTCCTTGTCCTTTACGAGATTTCACGGCTCGACAAATCATAATAGAAAAATATCATTTCTTTAATTTTACTTTTTTTCATCTGAAAGTTTTTTAACATGTTGGTGAGATTTTTCTGATGAAAATGATATCAAATTATGTCATGTTTGATGTCATTTTCATCAGAAAAATCTCATCAATATGTTAAGAAAAATTTCGGGATAAAAAAACGTAAAATTAAGAAAGTTGGTATTTAAATCGCTTGGTTGCCTCGACTCACGTTTCATCCTTATCTCTATTCGCTGTTCTTGTCTACGTTCGGCAAACTACAAAGGCGAGCGCGAGGCTCGAAAACGTAGCCCCTGATTCTACAAGTGTCAGGTTTAGGTTCCTTGCGGACTGACACTTGTGGAGAATTTACTGTATAATACATTCCTTTACATTAGGTTGGCCAATAAGTTCGTGTTAAAATGCAAGGTTGACTTTTGGCTGTTAAATCGCGTTTTGTTTTTACGCTTTGCACCGCAGTTACTTGCATTTCAAAGAACAGGAAGACAACTGTCGCTGTAAACCGCACGAACTTATTGGCCAACCTAGTATATAAAATTTATACATAGAAACGTTGAACGTGTGACGGCACACAGAATAAAACCGCGAATTAGTTTCATCGGTTAAGAAGCGGGCCGCGACAAAAGAAAGTCAGCAAACTTTATAAACGTCTACGGCCGACGAACTCGGGCTAGGCCGTTTTTCGTACGGGGCATCGACCTGACTGTGTCGGGTCGACTGCCGAATATGACAAGACGCGTTTATAGGCAAAGTAAACATCGCCAACCGCCGCCTCGGTCGATGATCCGCGAGTAGCCATCCTCGTCGCACCTGCGATAATGAACTCGCGGGAATAGGCAAGGCGATAAAAGCACGAAATTGCGGCGGGTCAGCTCGCAAAAGCGACGATTGTAAGAAGAACCGCAGAATGAAGAACCAAGTCCGAACAACCGTGTACAACTGAACAACGTGATCTTGAAGATTTATTTAAAAAACGAAGAGAAAAAATTTAAGATCACTATTTTCTAGATCCTGTAAAATCGCGAGTAAGATTTCTGTGAGAAGAAAAATTTAGAGCCGTCTACTAACAATGAAAATAATCGAGTTGGTCACGTTAGGCGAACCATCCTGCATTATAATAGCTGTGGCGGATATGATGGCCAGTTGAAAGGATTAAAAAGCATCTTCGCGTGGAAGTATTGTTCTCGAAGGGCGGTTTAATGCTTGCATCTAGCGACGGGTTATTTATCGTTCTAATTAGGTATTCCGGCTAGCGGGAAGATGTTAGAACGTACAATTAAGGCCCGTTTCCAGCGCTAATCTAATCGTGCGGGCAAAGTCCATTCAGACCGCCAAGTATCTCTTTAAACGGATAACCGACCCTCCGGTATTACGCCCAGCCCTGGAAAACGTCTAATCTTGACGCTGCACCCTCGTTCTCCTTTCTTCCTTCTTTTCACTCGGAGAACGTACCGCTGCTGGCCAGTCTTTGCGCACGAAATTTTCGCGATATGGAAAAAAATTAATTATCCGCCGGGGAAAAAGTAGTCCAATTTAAACGTTTCGCCGTGTTTACGTGCTTAGCGAGGTTCGAAGGGGTTGTTTTTCATTGGTGAATGTAGAGAAGGGTTGTGAATTTTTCTTTCTGTTTGCGAGGGAATGGATAAATTTCGAAATTTCGGGTTAATTTGTGGGTTAATGAACTGTATTTTATGGAACTTTTGGGCGTGGGAGTTTGAAGCTCAGCGTGAATGCCATGAAGAAAAAAAAGAAAGAGGAACATGGAAATTCTGAATTTGGAATTTTTGGGTAATTAAATTTGACCCAAAAAGTAACGTCGATGGAATTTCTGTATACTTAATTTTATCGTAGACTAGGAGAGATTGTTTTGTAATTTTTACCTTGTATTAATTGTGATATCTATAATAATTGATTATTTATGTCGGAAAGTTTAGCTGTTTAACCTTCAATATTCTTCATAAATGAATATTTTTCAGCATGAAATCCAAGCTGAATCCGGAAAATGGAAGAATCTCTAACTAGTAAATTGTGGAGTTGAAAAACGAATACCTTTGCATTGCACATTTCAGTGAAAGAGATTCAATCTGAAAATTGCAACTATTTGGGAATGTAGCGGGGTGGTACAGGAAGATTGTTCTCTAATTTCGAGCAGCTTTCGTCGATAATAATAAATTCCTCACGTGCGCGCCTTCTACAAACGAAACTCAATCCCAAAAGTGGAACCATTTCCAAATGTAGCTGCGAAAGTGTGTGTGTGTGTGTGTAGAAGCAGTGTTTCGCTGGCAGAGAATTTTCTAGGAAACATTTTAGCGTTGGCACGCGCGTACCGCGGATTTCCATGCTCTATCTCGTATGGTTTTATCGAGAGACGAGTCTGGCTTGTTTGGCCTGCCATTTCTCCGTGGCTTTATTCGCTTTCCGGCTAAGGGGATACGTCGAAGTCGAACAGACGTACCGCAACGCGATGCATCTCTTCCATTCGTCTGTTTCTCGTCTAATTTCATCGTTCCTCCCCGACCGTGGCAGATGCAACGACAGAAACAAAGAGGGTGGTGGAGAAATAGGGAGAGATAATGCGAGAGTGAGAGATTGAGAGGGAGAAGAGAAGGAGAGCGAGAAAGAGACAATAGGAGAACGAGGGAATGAGAGAGGGTGAGCCAGTGATGAGGGAGACAGGAGAGAGGCGAAATGAGGAAAAGAAACATATTAGAAGGAAAAAAGAGGACGTAAGGAGACGTGAGAGAAAGAGAGAAATTACGAGAGAGGAAGACAAAAAAGAGGGAAAGAAGGAAAAGCAAGGGAGTGAGAGAGGAAGAAAAGGAAGGCCAGAAAATGAGAAAGGAGGGAGAGGGAACACGAGAAAGAGAGAGGGAGAGCTAAAAGAAGAGAGGCAGAGCTAGAGGAATAGAGGGAGAGCTAGAGGAAGCGAGGGAGAGCTAAAGGAATAGAGGGAGAGCTAGAGGAAGCGAGGGAGAGCTAGAGGAAGAGAGGGAGAGCTCAAGGAAGCGAGGGAGAGCTAAAGGAATAGAGGGAGAGCTGGAGGAAGCGAGGGAGAGCTAGAGGAAGAGAGGGAGAGCTAGAGGAATAGAAAAGGAAGGCCAG